CTACCTGTAATTTATTTTTCATTTGGGGTTAGGTTTCCACCTGCTCCCCAATCCCATTGTGTATATATTATATCAAGTTTCAATGGGTTTGGATGTAGGACCAAGTAATACTTTCTAAGTATATATTCATGCTACTAACTGATCTGTGATGCTACCATGCCTGTAGACGCTCATACGCCACAGCGTGGTTATTTTTAATGGAAGATTCCAATGTTTTTGGGCAACAATACACAACCTCTTAAATAATTTTAAAATTTGAGAGACAGTAGATAAATAAATCGAAAATAAGGCCAGACTAGACTGTTACTTTGGAAAACGTTGCAGATTGATATTTAAAAGCATATTAATTTTGGAAATTATAATAAGCTGCACCATGTGCTAACAACACCTTGTTAATGAACAATCATTAGCTCTTCAAACATAACATGAACCTACCTCTTCTTTTAAGCGCGGGACTCTTGAACGAGACTGTTCCTTATCCAGTTCTATGCTATTATTACCAGAACGTCCCCCACTGATCTATATGGTATTGAAAAAGCAGAACATGCAGGTCAACCAATCACACAAAAAGTTCATAATGCTTTAACGGACGATATAATTAACGAGCCAGTGTGCACCTGGTTTTACCAAGCTAGAGTTTCAAAGTTTAATTTCCCGAGACGAGATCGAGGGAAACAATGAGTTTCGAGGGAAACAATGAGTTTCGAGGGTACGAAATGAAATTATTTTAACAATAAAATAACCTGCTAAAAAGTGTTTCAGCCGCAATTCCTATTATCTGTTAAGTATTTTCTTCTGTGTTATAGACATAATTGTATTCTATTCATAAACTGGAAAAACTTCTCAATTTTCGTTCTCAATTTTAACTACATTTTGAGCATTTATGTACGTAGTCGGTAGAAGCACAGTTAATAGGAGGACAACATTTTTCACTTGTTGCCCGGCGAGATACATTACATTTATCGGAATCCACGTGACCACAAATCAGCCAATCACGTTTAGTTTAAGCATTAGATATATAACAAGTTCACTTAATAGACATAACTACATCGAGATAACTACACCGCGAGATATCGTTTACTGGACTTCCTCGCTAAGTGGGCCAGCCCGCGGCATTCATATAAACACGCTGCCCGTAAATCGGACACTGAAGAGACACAATACCCGTATACTACATTAAGACACTATACACTTAAATGCCCGGTTACTAGAAAGACCATTGTCTGGTACAACCAAGACTTTGGTTTGTAGATGTTATTGCTATAGTTATGACAGACAATTTTTCGCTTAGCCGATCCTTGTTGAAGCAGGAATGACGAACGGACCACGCTGAGCCGGAATAAGCAAGAATTCGCAAATCTGAGGTCTCGCATATAGCCTACTATGGCTTTCTACATATTGCGCGAGTACTTAACTATCTCAATTCAAGATTACCAATGTATTTGGCCTCGCGGGCGAGGGGAGAACACAATCCAGAAAATGTACTCACAGTACCAACATCGCTCGAAAACTACGAAAAGGTTATTTTAGGAAACATCTATTCTTCAACTTACCGTGATAAATCTTTCGGATGTGTTAAAGTAAGATGATGCTATATCCAAACCTATAAAGGCTGGAGTATTAAGATCAACAAATAATCTGGCAAGAATTTTTTCCAATATCCAAGAATCTTTACTCCAGTTCTTGTTCGTGATATTCCATGAGCCATGTTGTTCGATCACATCAAGAACTGGTTTAATCCCAGCATTTTCAATAGCACTCTCATTCATGCAGGACTTGTAGTAAGTAAAGGTTTTATAGACAGCTGAATCCTAAACATATTGAAATAGTTAGTGATTGGGATTTAATATTATTTTAGTTTATTTCCAACCAACTGATTTGCCAAATTGTCCCAAGTTAAAATCAAAAGTATACCAATTAACTCAACGAATGACTTTAAGGAGGCTCCCTACAGTTCCGTGCGGGATGTTCGCGGGACAAGTACGGGAACTATCCCACGCAACTGCAGCATCAAAACAAAACAAAAATTGACCATGCTTTTTTTTTAAATAAAGCTATTTCTGAAAGGTTTCTAATGGGAAAAAGCGTTGAATAATACTTCGTTTTGAGTGCCAAATCGCTTGCGAGTCTATACAGCAATTCTACATATGATACGAATATCACTAGACCAAAAAATAGCTACGAAACAATACTTTTTAATTTTTTATACACTGTCAACTGACTGGTCTGACTCAACTGTAAAACATTTGCAAAATTGCACAGAAACGTTTAAAAAGTGGTTTACTTCTCAAGAAAACGTTCATGTTTTTAGTCGTGTTTCTACAAGATTAAAGTGATTATATGTAAACAGAAAAATATTTCAGTTTCATAGCCTAATTGTTCATTTTTAGCAAAAAGTACAAGACCAAACATGAAACAAAAAAAACACGTCCACCTGTTAATAGGCTGTTACAGCTCATAGATTGAGTAAACGGCAGGATTCAATTAGCTTCAACGTTGTTTTTATCGATTTAATCCTTCACAATAATCCTTGGCTGTCCATAGCACTCAAATAAATCGAACAGTTGACAAAAACAAAACAGTAAAAATAACATTGCCGCTCGATTTTGCTGAATGAAAACTCGTTCTGCGGCGCCCGCGTACAATCTTTTACTAGTCAGCGACGCTTTTCAATAGGGGAATTTCTCGAGTTTAATACATTTTACTCATCAGTTTCTTCGGTGACCTATCTTCAAATTTTGACGACGAATTTATTTTGAGGTAAATTTTATAAATTTCAAATTTTAAAAAAATCTGTAGTGTGGAAATTTCGCAATAAATTTTTCGCTTTTAAAAAAATCACACACTACAGAATTTTTTTAAACTTTCACCGCAGTTGCAGAGCATCATTCCTTATAGATATATGAAATAAAAAAGATAGGTCACCGACATCGTTTTTGAGATAGCGGCACATTTATGGGTTAAATTGGAAGGCTTTATGCTGTCGTCATGTTGCCATGGGAACATTGACATCGTCGAAATCTAGTTCGAAATATTCCTTAGGTGACCAATATTGCCACCAAGTCGAAAAGAATTCGCGTTCTGCACGAATAAGCCTGTTTTACGGAATTATTGCTTAAACAAGAATAAATGTAGGGAGCCACCTTAAATCACACACAAAACTAAAAGCTACTTTTTTATTCATTTAGTATGCATAAGTATCTGGAACGACCTAACGACCATTAACGACAACCCTTAATGATAAATTACACAGAATACCTTTGAGTAATTTGACATCAATTGTTCATTTTGCAATAAATCTCTCAGAGCATATTTAACAAAATTGTCTGCAACAGCAGATGAAGTCACTTGCGTTTTATCGTCAGGTATATGAGTCTTTTTTAAGAACCCCCCACAACTGTACTGGTAGAAATCATCACATGGATTGGTGGATTCATCGAGTTTGTTAATAATATCTGAAAAATAATTTACCACCATTAATTTTAATATGTCTAACAATATACGACTTTATGCTCCAGTTGAGCGTTACCATAAATCCTTTGTTAAGGCTTATTTATTTTAGGTATGTTTGGAAGTAGAGCTTATAATATATATATTGCACGGGGGAGAGAGGTAGGACGTTCAGCTAAACTTAAGTAATTTAGCCGAAACGCAGCTGCAAGTTCCACCATAGACAATCGATAGAAATGAACTGGAAACGTCAGTGTAACACGCTGTTCTCATTTGTACCATAGAGGAGAGACTATACAGAGGTGGAACCCAGCCAAAAAAGTGGAACCTACCGCCAAAAGCTTGTGTGCGAACGACAGGAGATGGCGCCCGAGTGTTTCAGAAAATAACCGGCATGAGAAACACTTGTTATTTTGCTCAAAACAGTTTTCCTTTACCAAAGTTGTTATAAACATGTTTATATATTCGTCCTTCAAAGATGTGTTGGTATGAGAAACCTTTGAAAATTATCTACTGATTTATATGGTACTATTATTCATCACAGGAGTGAAAAATTCCGAAATTACTCATGTGTGTCATATCTAAAGGATTTAGAAGAAATGTAAATGGTATATTAGCAGCTGGATTTTATTGTCTTTAATATTTTGTGAAATACTTAGACAGAAATCAGTCAAGATTTCATTATTTGAAACTATAGCAGTATCGCACCCTCTTTATAATAGTGATAATAATCATAAAACTTTAGGGATGTTGGTTTTTTACATTTTAAACACGTTATATTTAAAAACTATCATTCATGTACGTAGTTCATATTTAACATCGTTCAGGGTTGCTATTTTTTAAATGAATTTTGATTAGAGTTTCTGAATGAGATGCCGAAACAATGCCAGTTAAAGTTGGGTATACTTTCCTTTCGTCAAGGGGAGAGCGCTGGCGCTTAGTGGGTTAACTGGCGTATCTGCCCATGTGTCTAGTTAATCCATGCATTAAGTCGCATTGAGACCTACTTTATTATTTTACTCTGTCCAACGCCAGATCATTTTACATGTCAAGGGGAGCGCGTTGGTCCTTAATGGGTTAACTGGCTTATCTGCCCATGTGTCTATAGTTATAACCCATTAAGTCGCACTGAGCCCTATTTTATTATTTTACGCTGTCTAGAGCGCTGGCACTCAATGGGTTAACATTTAAGTAGAATATAATTTATAATAGTAGATAGCATTGGATTGTAGAAATTTTGAGCGCTGGCACTCAATGGGTTAACTTTTAAGTAGAATATAATTTATAATAGTAGATAGCATTGGATTGTAGAAATTGAAGAAAAATATAACATTCAAACAATGCAAACAGCGTATCCTTTCAGTGTTTTCAATATATCCACATTTATCAAATGTTCATTTTTTATCATTATTTGTCTGACAGAAATTCATTTTTAAGTCATTAGTCAGGTTTTTTTAAAATAGATCAACTCTAGCCCGACCAACTTTCATCCTAACTATTTGGGTCTTTATTCTATGTGCACCCAATTACATGGCAAAGCCTTTAAATTACTAGTATGCCACTTTATAGGATTGCTTGACAAAAAAGTTTAATTGGAGGACTTTGCTTTTTTGTGACTTCACTATACTCTTGCCCAAAGTGGGATATTCAAAATATCTCCTCTATGGGCCTACTATCGTAGTGGGAACATATCAACCTGGGTACGAGGTGAAAAATTATCTTGTATTTTGGAAATATTATCATTGCCTGGCAATGCTAACAAAGTTTAGGATACTTGTGCATTGATTGATTTATGGTTGCCAACCGTCAGGGCATTTTATTTAATAATTCTGCCTAATGTTGCTCCACATCATCTTTGAAAATGTTTGTGCGTTTAACAAATAGTTTCAGCACAGCAGTTGGGCATTTGCTTGCATGAAACTGATATTTGTATTTGATTGTTTAATTAAATGAAAACTCAAATGCCAATTGTAAACCTGACCCCCATTCTGGGTTTTAATATTGATAGGTGCATAATCCATGCAGATAAAAGTACTCAAATATTTCTATAAAAAAACTGGAGGCAAACAGTACGTTGGGGGCTATAGACAAATTCTTCAGGAGAGTTTTTACTTGCTGATGCAGAATTCAATGGCTATATTTTACTATACATTACAGAAAACAAAATTAAAAATTGAATCTATAGATTCATTTCTCATACTCTGGCCAATAGCCTCATCACTTCTACCTCCAGGGGAATTGAAATTGTCACATATTATTTGTTCCTTTTATGGTGCATATGGCTCAAGATTTTTACAGGGTCAGTGAAAATGTCCAAACTTTATTGATTACTAATGCAGTCCCCCCACTATATTAATTCCTGACTATCAGAAATTTAGAAAAAATAGGCCAAATAGCATATTGAATGCATGTATTAATATTAAATATATGAAAATCAATTAATTAGTGTTTTTATTAATACTCAAGAGATTCACACCGTACCTTAAGATAAACTTTTGCCGTTTGTCAACCAAATTCTTTTTCAAGCAATGCAAAGCTCCACAAATTATCCACAATATTTTATAGGTATATTATTAAAGCAAAACTAGCCTGCAAGCAGGCGAAGATCATAAACCAAAATATGACAAAATATTTACAATTCCCGCTCATATGAAAACAATTCCATTGAAAAAAAAGAAACTGCAAATCTCTCCCAAATTTCCTCTTCCCATAGGCAAACTTGAAACAAATATAATTCAACAAAAATCAGCGATATTTCAAACCATCTCCTTGGTTTCGAAACAAATTTTTGCGATCTTTTTAGTTAAAAATGGGGTGAATGCCTCTGCTTAGCGCACTAGCTAAGCTTTTGGTCCACCTCTGTGTTGTCTCTACTCTGTGTTTGTACCTCTGGATAACAGCCTTGCCTAAATAAAGTCACTTCACTTCACATCCGTGATATGGGCTTTTACGCTATGAAACCTACAACCTTTTACCATAATGGTAAAAGTGTTTTTCGCTTTTCGGCCCATATGTTGCAACCTCGTTCCTAGGCTCTTCCCTATTTAGTAGGAAAGATCCTGGCAATAGCTGGTCACGTGGTTCCCAGAAAATGGATTGCCCAAGGGGGTTGTAATAACTTAAATACTAGTATAATAGGTCTTCAAGGAAGACAACTCTTCGCTTAACGTTTTATTCTATACTACGAATATTCTCAGGTTACACAAACATGCTCATGCTAATATCATGCATAATTAATTGTACATTAGTTCACATGCTCATGCTAATATCATGCATAATTAATTGTACATTAGTTCCGGTAAGGTTTATGATTGGTTGTTACATTCCTCCTTTTTTCCGATAGTCACTGTAATTTATAAATCTAGTTGTCTTCTTTTTTAGAGTCCTAACACTAATCATCTAGAAATAATTATAATTATTTTTTCAGTCAATGTACTAACAGTTTTTTTTTAATTAGTTAATGTTCTACTTTATATAGTCTTTATACTTCCCTTGATACGTGCTCTTCTTTAGTCTTTCCGATCTTCACAAATTGTTCTCACTTGTTGTAGCTGTTGTCTCACTTGCTGTGGATGTTGTCTCACTTGTTGTATCTATATTGTCCATTGTCGTGTCCCGGATGTTGCTGCTGTCTGTGTCCTGAAATGTCGTCCCGGATGTTGTGGCTTGGTAGCTGCTTGGTACTTTTACACTCGCCGTTTCATCGTTGGCTTTTGACAATTGAGCTGTTCTAAGTGGTTTAACCTTCGATGCATCCCTGCACTTAACTTTTCCATCCTTTACACGTCTCGCACGGATGGTTGATCCTTTTATGCTTGTCACAACGTATATGTACGGCTCGTACGGTGTATGCTTCTTTCTTTTCTTCTCTCTCTTTATCAAAATGGCGTCACCGCACTTGATTGTATGTGTTTTCACTCTGTGACGTTTATCGTGGTACTGCTTACGTTTCTGCTTGTAGGTTTTGTCATTCTTCTTGACCTCACCTTGGGTGATGTGAACTTCGGTGGGAAAATGTTCCAATCGTGTTCGAACTTGACAGTGCATCAAAACCTCGTACGGTGTTGACTTTGTTGCCGGATGGGGTGTCTGTCTGTATGCTTGTAACATATCATATTGCACTCTTGATTTCGATTCCTTCTTCACAGGCAATCTTTGTTGTTTTGTTGATCAACTTATTGAAATTTTCCACTTGGCCCTGCGCCTTCGGATGTATTGGTGTTACTCGCTTGTGGTGAAATCCCATTTCTTCAGCAAAGGCTTGGAATTGTTCACCA